GGGCCCGCGGCTGGCTGTGAGGCCATCGCGGGCGAGGGTTCTGGTCGTGGGGGGTGGGTTTGGTGGTGTTAGTGCTAGGGTGGCAGTCCCAGCGCGGCACTAACAGTGGGTGCCGGTGGGGTGGTATGTAGGAGGGAAGTGCACAATTCGACATCAACAGGGAGATAAGAGATGTACTGTTCTATGAGCTTTGAAAGTATAAAATGCCAGGCCTTGTGGAATGTTGAGATCAACTCAAAGAGCCTCAAACTCATAGCTATTTCACACACCGTATCAATCCTGAAACTTCTTTCTGCTGCAAATGTCCGTCAAGCCCATTCGCGTCGCCGCCGTTCAGGCCGAAGGCTGCTACTTTGATTTGGAAGCTGCAGTCGAGAAGACATGCAAGCTCATAGAGGAAGCTGCTGGTAAAGGCTGCGACTTGATTGCCTTTCCTGAAGTCTGGATCCCTAACTATCCAGGTTGGATCTGGTGAGCCATTTCAACACAATATCATTCCTGTGTCTATATAGTGCTTAACGGGTGCAACAGGCAGAGACCCATCGACTTTGACATGGTCAAGGAGTACATTAAGTCCTCCCTTAAACGGGATGGTCCGGAGATGGCTAGAATCTGTGCTTGCGCGGGCAAGAACAAAATTGCCGTTATGCTGGGATACTCGGAGAATGCAAATCATTCCTTGTACCTATCTCAATCTTTGATCGGCAAAGATGGAGAGATCAAAATGAACCGCCGCAAGATCAAGCCTACCCACGTCGAGCGAACCTTGTACGGTGACGGCAGCGGTGCTTCTCTTCACAATGTTGTCGAAGAGCCTGGCATCGGCAAGGTCGGTGCTTTGTCTTGCTGGGAACACTCTCAGCCCTTACTGCGCTACCACACATACTCTCAGGGCGAAGAAATTCATGTGGCTGCTTGGCCGCCCATGAACTACTTCAACTCCTTCCCCGAGGGCTCGGCTCTTTGGTCTCAATGCCGCGAAGGTATGTACCTAAAGAACCTTTATCCCGACCTAAATGAGGCATTTAACAATTTGTCCCAGGGGCCCGCAACCTCTCCACTACACACGCCATCGAAGGTAACTGCTTCGTCGTTTTGTCGTCTTCCTTTTACACCCAGACTGGCGTGGATCGTCAGAAGCTCGGCGATGGAAAGCTCTACCACATCGGCGGTGGCGGCTGCGCTTGCATCATCGCACCCGATGGTCGGAAGCTCACGGAAGATCTTGGGGAGGAAGAAGAGGGTCTTGTGATTGCCGACATTGATCTGGATGAAATCATGAAAGTCAAGGCTATGCTAGATGTTCACGGACACTACAGCCGACCCGATCTCTTGTGGTTGGGCGTAGACTCGCGCGAGAAGAAACAGGTTCGCAGAGAAGCTGAGCTGCTTGACGATTGAGAGAGACGGTTATCCCTGAATCATTGGTTGGGATGAATATGTCTAAATTGGGTTGCATGGTCATGAAATGAGTTCTGATCTTACTAAATACTAAGCATCTATGGAACATTGCTCTGTCCAGCCTTTTGTTCTCCACAATCTAGCAATGACCTCTTTACCTGTGATACGCAAATCTGCCGTTATTCCCGAGTTCCATAATCTTGTCCCGCAGTTGACAGCAATCTTTGCCTCTCCTCCATCGCATCCAAGGCAGGCTTTTCCTCCTTCACAAAAGTCCGTCCCTTAATGGCCACAAACACGGTCAGAATGAGACCGACTACAGTGCCTGCAGCGCCAAGAGTAATGTTGACGGGAGTTGGATCGCCACCCAATGGGCCATGAGTGAGGGCATCGAGGCCAGATTGAGAGAAATTGATCAACCCAGAAACGCATACGATGGTGCCATAGATGCGACCGAAGGTAGCGAAGCCGAAAACCTTCGTTGCGTAGTCGCTAAGCCTTGTAAGTCCCTTTGAATCTTTGTAAACAAGGAGTTGTGCTCTGTACTTACGAAATAGCCGAGTAGTAGAGAGGTCGAAATACGACGAAGAAGACAACAGTCGCATAGCCCGCCCATACGAAGGGAAGGCAATTGAGAAGACCGATCGCCACAATGAGAACAGTCAAGACCCCAAATGTTGTGGGCACGCTAAGATTATTGAGGAGAAATCCGATAAACGGAGTTGACACCAGTCCTCCAACAGGCAGAGCGATGTCGAAGAAGTGATTGATTGCATCGGCTTCAATTTCAGAGCCCAGCATGAAGCGGTATTGAGCGCGGATGGTTGCGATGAAGTAGTTCATTCTCAACATCTGCACGATAGTCAAAAGGAGAATGAGAATGAACCATGGACTCTGAATCTGCTTGTGGGCAGGGACACCGTGAAGTACACCCCATACACCACTCGCCTCTTGTCGCTCCTCATTGACTTTGACGCGCTCCTCGCGAGCTTGTGCATCGCCGGCGACCTCTTCAATCTGGTCCAACTTCGACAGTCGCCGCTCGGCCCTGGCGCTTCGGACCTTCCTCAGCGCTCTGTCGTCGGAAATCTCGTTATCCGAGTCGTGGGTATCGCGTGTTTCATCCTGTGCCTTCTCAATTTTCTCTTCCAATTGCGGCATGGTATGATAAGATCGGGCTGGCATGTAGGCAATCTCAGTAATCAAGATGAGGACGGGGATGGCAATATATGCGTAGAAGAACTTTTCGAGGGAAAGCTGTCCGTTAGTCGCGTCATACACCATCTGATAGATGAGGAAGACGGCAGCGGACGCGTCAAAAGCTCCGGTGACAAGGGCAATGATGAGCCCACTATACTTTGGGAATGCGTTTGCCAACTGAAAGCTGGAAACGAAAACAAATGTTCCGCCCAAAGCCAGGAAGATGTTGCCGAGGAAGTAACCATCGAAGTAGCCTTCAAAGTTGTGGGAGGCGGCCATCAGAACGCAGCCAATGGTGAGGCAGATGGAGGATAGGATCCAGCAGGTCCGTCGACCGTAGCGATCAAGAACTGAACCAGCCAGAAGAGACGACACGTTGGCTGTGACAGATGCGACGACAAAGAAGAGATTGAGGCGCAAGTCCTGCTCCGTGCAGGGAATATACTCGCCGTCATCGGCAGTAATTAGGTCGTTGGCATCGCAAAGGTCGCTGTAGACTCCTTCGGCAATCAGAATGGGCTTGAGGGCAGCAAAGCCGAAGACGATGCCTGCAGCTAGCCAACACGCGACGATGCCAGTGGCCACCTGTGCTACACCGTGTTAGCGGCTTCACGTAAAACGGACCGAGCCTTTGGCACAGCGCTTACCCCATCTCTTTGCGTTGGAGACTTTGTATGCTGCAATGGGCTTTTCGACGTGAGTCTGCTCAACAGGTGCAAAGCTCAAGCGTCGCCATTGCGGATCATTGTTGTTGACGAGGCTGTCAGTCGACAAGGGTTGGAGTGTGCCGAAGACGGCCTCGCTATCACCGGATTGGTCGGGCTGTTCTGCAGGACGTTCGTAGTCGAAGCCTTCGGCTTGGGTGACGTGCTGCGCGAGCGACATTGGCAGAACCTAGGCGGTTTGAAGGGACGGGCTGAAGGGACATAAACACGTAGGTCAGAGAGCATCCGGCACTCATGGAAGAGGGGAAGATTCAGTCAGGCAGAAGAGTATTTATTGCCATCGAGGAGTATCCTTGTGATTCCATCGATTCGAACGCTCATGCATTTGCAACATCCCCTGTCGTGCAACGCGCACACCGCCAGCGGGATACCGTGTCTGTGACGTAACCAAGCGTTAATGTTGAGGGGGGCTGGCTAGTTCGACATTTCCAGCAAATTCCAAACTTCGGAGCTTGGGCCCATCGTCGCGGCTGTCGGAGCGGGGCGCCTCCGGGTCCCATCCCGTATCCGGCGCCGAGGAGTGGATCGCAACTCCGGATTCTGCTTCACTGATTCAATTTGCTGGCAAATCGACTCTTCGCCCGGATTGTCTCGCCATATCCGACAAGAATCCAAGGACCTGCGGTAAGCAATAGGCCGATCCCACCAAGCAGGCTAGATGCCGGTCCGTACCCGAGATTGGTGTACATCTGCACTGTAACAAGCGGGAAGATGCCGCCCAGGCAATTTCTGCAAAATGACTGTGCCGCCAAAGCAGAGCTAGCGTAAGCGTGGTAACTGTCAGCTAGATAGTTGAAAACAGCCAAATAGATGGAGAATATCCCCAGAGTTGAGATGCCGAGGCCGATCGCCGGGACGATCCAGTGGACCTGCTCTCGAGCAGTCCAGCCCAAGATGAAGAGGCCGATCGGTAGACAGATACTCTCAACGCAACTAAAGTAGAGTCTTCTTTCTGGTCTGTCCAATGGAATATTGGGATTGGATATCGTGTTCAGCCAGCGTTCCTGGTATATGCTGATCGGAGTGGCGATGAGCGATGCGATACACGAACTTGTGAAGATGGTGTTAGCAGTTGAGAGATCGAAACCATAGATCGTAGTGAAGATGAGGGGAACCGCGGCAAATCCAAGATACAGGATTGACCAGCTGAACGCTGCCCAGAGTGAGAAAAAGAAGACGATTGGCTCAGTGAAGAGCAGCACGAAGGGAAGGGTCATGGAAGCAGCAATCATCTGGCCGATTGATCCTCTTCCTTTATCGCCCTGGGTGCGCCACTTGATCTGTCGGGATAAAACGGTATCCTCTCCTCCGCTGATTGTCACCTCAAATCCGGACACCGATTTGGCTTCTGCCTTATACCATTGGTTTAAAACGTCTGCTTTACGTCGGAGCAGGACATTTTGTCGGGTTTCTGGCAGGAATAGGAGGAATGCTAGTGCATTGAGTGCATTGACAATGACTTGAACCCAGAATATCCATCTCCAATTCAGATACTGGACGATGAACCCGCAGAAGAGAGGACCCAAGCCCGTCCCGAAAAGCGCTCCACCAGAAAAAACGGCCATCGGTGCATTGCGCTCATGAGGTTTGTAGATATCCGAAATCACGCCTCCGATCATGCTGGAGTATGTCGAGCTACCCACGCCGGCAAAGAAGCGCGCAACTAGCATCCTAGCTCAAAATGCAGTTAGATATCATAGATCCGTCTGCGACGTCAAGAATTCCTTCAACATGCAAGACTTACCCTCCGTACGACTGGGTAATGGCGCTACAAATTTGGCAGATGACAAACAAGGTACCAGTGAGCGTAAAAACCAGCTTCCTACCCCATATTTCGGACAAAGGTGCTAGTATCATGGGTGTTATGGCGAAACCCAGCGTAAACGTCGTGATACCAACTGCGGCCGCTGTTTGACTGATGCCCCATTCCGCGGCAAGGGCATCCTTCGCAGAAGCGTAAGAGCTCGCCGCTACGGACGCGAATGCGGTAGCAACGCACAATAAACATAGCACAGAAATCTTTCGTAGTCTGCTCCAAGCTTCTGGCGATCTGAATTGGTCGTTTACATGGATTGGAGGGGGGAGTTGCTGAAGGCATATGCCATCCGTAGAAGCCCTAAAGGGGACCGGCAAAGTTGCGTCGAATGTGGCTTCCAACTCAAGACCGTCGATAAGTGGTTTGGAAACCGCTTCAGCTGTTTCGTACGAGTTTTCGCCAGGCATGGCTGTGATTTGTGCACATAAGACCAAAGAGAGGTCCCGGTTGTGGTCAAGAGGACACTAGAAAGGCTTTGTATCGGCTGAAAGGCAAGGCTAAGAAACGAAGTTCGGATGGGAAGATTCAATAGTCTAGAATCGTCTACTTAGGAGAGTCGTGTTATTGAAAAGGAGTATTCTATTGTGCCTCTAGGTAATGGATCGACATTAGTCAGTCTCTGCGATGACACCATCAGTGCTGAATTTGTCACCTTGGGGTAGATGGCTTCGCTTTCGCTTTTAAAAAAAAAGATTTGAGAAATCAAGATAAAGTGCATGTTCTCGTGGATAATAGATTTAGGCGTGATCACTCGCACAAGACATCAATCTTCTCGGGTGTATGGAGATGGATCTGCAAATTAAGGAGACCCAATAGATGTGGGACCAACGTCTCCAAGTCTCCAACTTCTGCATGTGTCCCCGACCCGAGCAGCCCACGTTGAGCTGAACCCTTGGGTACTGTTTGTAAGCGAAAACCCATTCAAGTTTGCTTTGGCCAGATGGTCACTGGTGTCTGGTAATACATTACAAGAAATGTTGTTTACGGGTGCTGTCTATCGAGTGCCTCAAGAGCAGGAAGGTTCGAGCAAGTCCACCCGCAACGTCTCGTCGGCAATATTTCAACCAGCTCGAACGGAAAGATTTGGAACTTATAGCCATAACTCAGGATAAACCAAGAGCCCGAAATCTATCCCCAAGAATCAAGGATAAGGGTAAGTAACCCACTGGCTTCCTATCGTTGAGAGCTCATATATATGGGAAAGCCGGCGCATTCGGAGTCGGAAAGATATTGCAGGTCTCGCATTGGAGAACTTAAGATCAAACCACCCAAACTCCTTTGGAATCCCGGAAAAAATGAAAGAGGCATTGATTGACAACACTATTCGGGTCAAAATTCACGATGTGCCCATTCCAACCTCTAGCCCTGGCCAGCTCTTAATACGGACAATTGTATCTGGAACCAACCCCAAGGACTGGAAAATGCCAAAACTTTAGGTCCCTCAAGCTTCGCCTAGTAACTATGGTGATGACATTGCCGGCTACGTCGAGGCCGTCGGTGAGGGTGTTTTAGGCTTCAGCAAGGGCGATCGCGTGGCTGCTTTCCACGAAATGGGCGCACCACATGGAAGTTACGCCGAATATTCAATTGCATGGGCTGACTCCGCTTTCCATATACCAGCCCACATCACTTTCGAAGGTGAGAGTGGAGAAGTTAGATAACATCACCGACCCAGGGTCTAACAACATTGGATGACAGAAGCCGCGACGATTCCTCTGACTGCAATGACGGCTGCTCTAGGGCTCTACCAGAGACTCGGATTGCCACTGCCCTGGAGTGCAATCACTGAACCACTACCATTGATCATTTATGGAGGTGCCACGGCCGTCGGATCATTTGCAATCAAGCTTGCAGCTCTCTCGAATATTCACCCTATTACTGCTGTTGCAGGCAATGGTACTTCTTATGTGAATACCTTACTCGACAAATCTAAGGGTGACACGGCGATCGACTATCGTCAAGGGGAGGCTCACACGCTGGAGAAAATCAAGGAAGCTGCCGGCGAAAATCCGATCATCTACGCCCTTGACACAGTGTCTGAATCGAATACGCTTCGAATGATTGATCGAGCGCTCGCACCCGGCAAAGGCAAAATTGCGAATCTTCTACCAAGTTCGCCTAAGAACGAGTTGTCTTCGGAGTTAACGTTTACGATGGTAGGAACTATACACGCATCCAAGTCTACCAATTCTTGGCCAGCCCTCGGTGACAGAGAATTTGGAACACTCTTTTGCTCGTTCTTCAGGCGGGGCCTGCAAGAAGGCTGGTTCCATGGGCATCCCTACGAAGTGCGGACTGGAGGATTAGATGCCTTGGGGCAGGTTCTCAGAGATCTCGAGGCGGGCAAAAATTCGGCGAAGAAGTACTTGGTGAAAATTGCAGAGACCAAGGGCGTTATGTGATGGGCTTGGTAGGCTCATGACGAGATTCACGGTCACAAGTCTTTTTTTCATTTTTTTCAAGTAAAGATTCAGGGGTCAATAAGACTGCTTGTATTTTCCCATAGACCAAAGCTCATTACGCATCATTCCAAGATCCTACGATCAACCAAAGAAAATTGCCCGATACTAGCCACAAAATCAAGGTGCAGCCATCACAGCCTTTTGACTTCCGTACTTGCTCTCCCACTCATCGTTGACTTCACGATAGTCTTCGGGGGCGTATGGGTCATACCACTCAGCCAAGAACCCCTTCTTACGCCAGGGCGTAAGTCCCAAATCCTGCTGCAGTAAGTCAAGATATGGAACCGCATCGAAGACAAAACTAGGGCATTTGTTGGAGCCCCAGTCGGTAGGGTAGCGCCAGTATCCGTATCGGTTCATGACGACAGTATCATACTTCAACTTCTGCATTGCGGCATCGTCGCCAACCGCTGCTGCAGGGTCTTTCGCCAGACGACCAGAGAAATAGGCGCTGATCCACAGACCCTGCATGTGTGCGGTGATCACATTGCTGAAGTTGCTGACCATGCCCACGAAGGCTGTATCGCGACTTCGCAGGAAGCGTTCCGAGGCTGGGACGATGAAGTTGTGAAGCATGTATGGCGTGAGAGACTTGTAAGGTGTAACCTCATCCTCACTATCGATGCCCTTCATGTCAGTCATGGGAGTATAGTCCTTATTCCAAACCGGCTGGTTCTTCAGTCTGGGGAAACGCTCCAAGATTTCTTTGTCGGCCAAGTCGATGAGGTCTTTCTGGCCTGCCAGATCCTCACGTGGAGCGTTGTCGATGGGTGTGTGAGGAATGCCGAGATCTTTCTCAATACCTTCAGGGAGGAACTTGATTGGCGGGACATGTTTCCAGCCAGTGTGAGCCAGCAGTGCGTCGGCGTCGAGCTCGGTTCCGTCCGAAAGATGGACCTTTCCAGGACTGAGATGATCAAGCTCACCGACATAAACCCTCACTGTACCATCCCTGATGAAGTCGAAGAAGTTCGTGTCGTAGTTAAGGATACTGAAACTGGTTGAAGTGAACATTGGTTCGGTCCATGGCTTTAGCTTAGCAGTATCTGGATGAGAGTCGTATTCCATAAGCGTCTTAGCGTCGTCGCCGAGTACTTTCCAGAAGCCGTCAACGATAGTTCGTCCAGCCGCAGTACCGTGGAAGAAATTTCGAATGCCAGTGTAGCCATCAGCATCTCCCCATACGCAAGGGCTGAACCATGTCAACATCCGTGTATCTGTGGGAGCACGTTAGACTTGAGGTGTCTGAGAGGTCGCCAGAAACTTACTAGCAAGCTTCTCAAGCCACTTTTTGAGCGGTGTAACGAATGGAGGAGCCATCCAACACGGACCATGGCCCTTGGCTACAACCGCAGTCAGCGATGAGAACAAGATGGAATGCATAATGACGACTCACATCTGACAATCCAATTCACCTTGACGCCTGCGGTTGCATAAGCATATGCAGCATCCCACGCGAACTTTGTTGAACCAAAGATCGTGACAGTCTTCGCCGTTGTGAGAGTGTCAGCGTTCTTTTGGAAGTCCTTGCCATGGAAGATCTTGCCACCGAAGGACTCTTGGCCCTCGAAGTGAGGTAGCCATGGCTCAGATGTGAGCCCCGTCGCGATGATGACGTGGCGAGCAAACACATTGGTCTCCTCTCCGCTCGCGTTCGACACAGTCAAAATCCATCCACCTTCGATAGTTTCCTGGTGATTGGCGGTGAGCACCTTATGGCTGGAGCGAATCTTGTCGGCAATGTCAAACTTTTCCGCATAGGCTCTGATGTACTTGTTGACGGTTTCTCCAGGAATATGCTGACGAGGGTGGATGTTGAAAGTCTCACTGTCCATAGGGAAATCAGGATACTCAAACATCCCCCATAGGTTATTGCTCTTCAGCCCAGGATACAGGCGACTTTCAGCCCATGTACCGCCAAGCGAGGGCTGGGAGTCAAAGACGACGAGCGAGGCTTCTGGCTGCGTACAGTGAAACTGCTTCGCGGCGCCCAGGCCGTACCATCCTGTGGTGTTCTGTCAGCATCCCACGTCTTTGTGCGCGGTTTTCCGTGTCTCAGTGCCCTCAACATCTTCTAGAATGTCTCGGTAGCGTTGAGATTGACACGAGGGTCTGAGACCTACCGGCTCCCACGACGACGCAATCAAACTTCTCCATCTTTTCGGCAATGGATCAGCTTTCTCGAGAAAGACGAATTGCCGGATGACAGAGAGAGTAAGCAATCGGTCGGAGAAGTCATCCTGATGAATCTCTGCTTACTCTCTGTGCTTATTTTTTGTCAAGGGTGCGGAAGGATTTCGAGGTGCATCTGGCTAAATTAGAATGAGACGACCGCGGAAGCGGCATACCGGGGCCCCATGGCATGCTGATCTCCTCCCTTTGGAAGGTGAACTGCTCTGCAAGACCTGGACACTTCCCATTTCGGCCTGGCGACAGGGTCTGCAGCCCTTGATCTCGACAGTGTTCGTGCCTTGGCCGCAAACCACTTTAATAAACTTCCAGAATACCAACCCCGGGTCCACCACCAACAGACGACATCTTCATCCCAATCCTGCCCGAACGCGTTGTCAAATTTGGTTACCGTTGCATCGTGGCGTTACTTATTGACTAGTCAGCGCGGGAAATCTGTCGGGGCTATCCGGGCGTTTCCTCCAGGTTCCCCGCGGCCGCAATCGTGATTGGATGTTGTCCCATGGGGTTACCTGCATTGAGGATCCAATAAACACGAGTGACCAATGATAACCTCTGTTCTCGGCAGTGTTACTATGAACAGGGTGTGAATATGTTGGCGCCAACAGACAGTCGTTCGCATGTCACCTTGAACAGTCGAATGCTACCCTTCGATATGACGGCCGGCACTGAGCGAGTCATTCTGTAGGGCAATGGTTCGGGAGATGGCGACCAAATCGTGTCCACCGGGCACTTGTGTCCTGCGGATACATTTATTCAGAGGCAACTTTACCGAAAAGACAGCAGGTTGGAACTCTGCACGTTTATTTACTTCCCACAATACGGCCCCTGAGCCCGACGGGCTCGTACTGCTCTTCTCTGGGGTGAGCTGCGCTGACCAGGGTCATTTTCCCCCTTTGGGACAATGATCCAACAGATGTTTCGTTTCTGGAAACCTTAAGAAAGACTTGCTTGGTGAGCACTCATCGAATTGAGCGAGAATTGAATGAGATGGCATGACATTTTGTGATCGCGATGCTTGGTGAGACTTGATTTGGATTAGAAGGTAATGGCATTGCGACCTCGGTGAAGTAGTACCAAATGGTTGCAATTACCTAGCCGTCACTCAGCCCGTATTCACTTACAACTCATCCGTCACCATGGCTTCGGATTCGCGCCCCTCTCGCCCGCCCGTCGACGATTCAGGCACAGACATCTCAAACGCCGTTCCAGGGTTAACTCCGCTAAATCAATGGCAGGGTGCCGGTGATGATGGACCTTGGAACCCCATGACAGTGGATCGACAGAACTCTTTGGGGCTGACATGCGTTGGTCGAGAGCGCATTCGGACTCCGGTAGGAGCTGGGTTGCGCTCAGAATGTTGTACAAATTGAACACCCCGGAAGCCAACATCCTCGCCTGGATTTTCTCTCTGGTGGTTTTGCTTTCTTAGTCTTTCGTTTGGTTCGTACACAAGTCGGTCGTTAATCATCCCTATTCAACATGTCCGACGCTGCAGCAATGGATCCCGCGGCGGCGGCGGCGGCTGCTGCTGCTGCCGCGGCAGCCATGAAGTCCTTCACGATTGAGGCGTGGACCCTTCTGGCTGTTGGAGTTCTCTTCACCATCCTCAGAACCTATGCCAGAGTGAGGGCAGTCGGTTTCAAAGGTCTCCAAGCTGACGACTACCTGGTCTGGGTCGGAGTGGTCAGTTTCTCCATCTCTTAGACTTTCGCTTATCCGCTGACCCCGAGATGGCCAGATCTTTTATGTCATAGAGACGGTCCTTGCTCACTCCGTTGGAGCCATCGCGAAGGGCATGGCTAACAATGGCATGACTGACGAGCAACGGGCCGCACTCTCGCCAGACAGCGAGGAATATCGCCTAAGGTAGGATACCTCACCCCACATGAGTATCTTCCTTGGCTAATGATCTTTGTAAAGGGTAATCGGCTCTATCATTCAAATCTGTGGATGGTCTAGTTATTCCGTTCTGTTGTGGTCGCTGAAGGCCTCGTTGTTGGTATTCTACATCAGGTTAACAGTACGTTTACTCGTGTCTTCCTGCATACAAGTGATTGTCTAATATTTCATAGGCTGGTCTGGGAAAAGCCTTTAGAATGCGTATCTATGTCGGCTTTGGTTTCCTTATTGTCAGCTGGATCGTTGTCGTTGCAAACCTTTTCTTAGCGTGTCGACCCTTTCATAAGAACTGGCAGATCTATCCGGACCCCGGTAGTAAGTCATTGTCTTCGGGTGCGAACATGATGCCGTTTTGCTGACTTGCGATATCTAGATGTCTGCCAGCCAGCAATTTCCAACCAGGTCGTCTGGGTCTACCTTTCATTCAATGTCTCGACGGACCTTTACCTGTTGTCGATTCCCCTTCCTATGCTTTGGCAGGCCAAGCTAAAGCCCCTGAAGAAATGGGGTCTGCTCTTTCTCTTCAGCGGTGGTCTTTTCGTCATTGTCTGCGCCACCCTTCGATGTGTTCTGATTGTAACTGTAAGTTGCTGCCCCCCTATCTGTGGTGGCAACTGCTGATCTTGGTCCCCTTTTCAGGATCCCCAAAATGGAGCACAACTTGCCGGCTCGTGGGCAGTTCGAGAAACTTTCGTCGCTGTCATTACAGCTAACCTGCCAATGGTCTTCTCCATCGTCAAACAGTGGCTGACGCCAGTTTTCGGCTCCCTCATCACCTCGATACGTTCGTCGCAAAGACAGACCGAGAACACGCCAAGAGAAGTGCGCACCTTTGGCGCCGGCAGCAACCAGAGCTGGCGCGGACGCGGCCCTCCTTCAGCATACCCGATCACCAACATCACCTTCAACGAAAGCGAGGAGCGCATGGTCAATGAGATCAAGATGCAAGACGTCAAGGCTTGGGGTGACCCGTACGCCGACGGAAGACCGCCTACCAGGTCCCACAGCATGAGCAGAAGTGCGAGCACCGCCAGCAGGCATAGAAACGGCAATATCAGGAGGGATATCGAGGTCGCCATCACCACCGAGGTCCGCGAGCTGAAGCCTGATGCGAACGGCAACATCAAGAGCGTGTCGCCTCGAAGCTTTTCGTTTGCCAGAGGCCCGAAGAGGAACTCGAAGAGAGCATCGGCGCACAGCGCGGTGTTTGATGCTAATAACAGGATTTAATGGCCTAATTTTGTATGAGTAAATATGTAGAGTACCAAATAACAAATCGTGCGCAAGCAAGCTCGCTCCATTTCCCACATGAATGTTGTATTCTTGAAATTGATGAGTCACCTACAGTAGGAAGCTATCACAACATTGGGCTCCGTCATATTCAAAAGATAACTTGGAAGGTACTGTCGCGTGAATGAGTTCACACTGCATCTCCAAGAGGGGCAACGGAGCTTCGTTCGGGAAATTTTGCTTGTTTTTTGGGTCTAGCAGATCCATGAGTGGGCATTGACGGTTGCCTAGGTTGCTCGGCCGAATTGAATGTTACGAATCGCGGGTTTTCCGGCGACTTGTAGATGTTACAAAAGCTTGGTTGTGTGCTCGATGCGAAGACGAGGAACTTGGTTGGTTTATTATGGTTACCTAGAACAGGCAGCCAAATTTCAGAGACCTGCAAACACAAATACGTGTGTCAACTGAGATTCCAGGCGTCCGGAAGATGATGTCTGACGGCCTGCCATGTGTGAACCGTCAGTTAGCACTTTAGCGGCGTATCCCAGTAAGTTGGTGCTGAGTGCATGGTTATCGACATCCCTGTCGGCAGCGTCCAGGCACCTGTCGGCTGCGCTTCTTGCATGAAGTGGGCAACACGTTTGGTGAATAACTACCTACTCTTTGCGGCCTCAACGAAGATTCTGTTTCACCGCAACTTCAAAATGTCTGTCTAGTTGCCTGGTGGACTGGTTAGGCATCCATTTGACGACAATCGTGTGTGATTCCTGTTCATGTCATGGATGTTGGTATGCACAACGCATGGCGGACCTCCGTGTTAAACTGGACTCGCTGTATTTTGGATGTGGACCGCCCAGCGCCGTATCTTGCCGGAAGAGGCAAGAACACGACCGCTGCAGCTGTCTGAGGTGGGTCCCGTCCCCGTTCAGCGCTCCTGCTTCACGGCATCTCGCTGACGGGAACAATTTCTTTCAAATACAAGACCGCGTCGCTTTGCAAACGAAGCAGAGAACGAAATCAGGCACAGAAGTCTACATCATTGCAGTTTTTGTCTGACTTTTCTTCCCGAATCATGGACGAATACCACACCAAGCACACCCCGTGGTTCCAGGCCTCCGTTGAGGCCTTCGCGGCCAAAGCGGCCAAGGAAGACCTGGCCCGCGCCGATGATCCGAATATCACACCGAACCCGGACATGATTGTCGCCGCCCGGCTCCGACCCATGCTCGAGGACGAGGTCTCTGCCGGTCTCATTCGTGGTGTCTTTACGCGCGACAACACAGACGGAGCTGTCGATATCCACCAGATCCGAAAGCACATCAAGCCTCTTGGCCCTCCCACCCTGATCGTGAGAAGCAATCAACCCTCCTACAGTTTGAACAGCAATACTAATGGAAACAGACAACTTCGGTTGCCTTGGACCGCGCATATGGGCCGGAGGATACGTCCGAGAAGATCTACCAAGATTTGGTGGAACCCCTCGTCCCATGGGCCTGGAGCGGCGGTGTTAGTACCATGTTCGCCTACGGCCAGACAGGTTCGGGCAAGACCTTCACCGTCAGCGCCATTGAGAAACTGGTCGCTCAGTCTCTGATGCGAGGAAACCTCGATGGCGAACGCAAGGTATACGCCTGCATCATCGAGCTGGCAGGCAATCGCGCCTTTGGTAAGGGCCTCTCCAATACGCAGCAGCAGTTCGATCACCACTAAACATAACATCCCCAGATCTACTCAATTCGCGCAAGCCTATTTCCGTCCTGGAAGACTCTTTCGGTGTTACCCAGCTGGCGGGTGCGCAGGAGTTTGAGGTGACCGAAGCGAGCGCCCTGCTCGATCTGATCGAGAAAGCGGCAACTTACCGACGAACGGCAGCGACCGAGAAGAACGATGCATCGTCTCGATCTCACGCAATCTGTCGCATGCGCATCGAGAATCCCGCCATGCCCGCTGCCGAAGACGGGCTGCTGTACCTCATCGACCTGGCCGGTTCGGAAGCTGCTAGAGACAGGGCTAACCACACAGCCGACCGGATGAAGGAAGCTCGCGAGATCAACACCAGTCTGTCCGTCCTGAAGGATTGCATTCGGGGCAGAGCGACGGTAGATGCAGCATCCTTGACGGGGAAGCCCAAGAAGCCAACACACATCCCCTTCCGCCAGAGCTCCCTCACCAAGATCCTCAAGCACGTCTTTGATCCGACCAGCCGTCGTAGCTGCAAGACCGTGGTCATGGCATGCGTCAACCCCTGTCTCCCGGACTGTCCCGCCGGCAAGAACACGCTCAAGTACGCCGAGATGCTGAGGGTCCTCTTGCCCAAAGCTAAGCCTTGGCCGTATGACTCGGATGTGCCCTTTACATGGAACAACAATCAGCTGAAGAAATGGATCGGTGAAAATGTGAGCAGTCCCTCTCTGTCCTTGGTCGCAGCGTTCTAATATCCAGCAGTCTGGGGCCCCTGCCATTTCGAGTGATCTCCTTGCACCGTCTGAGACGGGCGCTCAACTCCTCCGTCTTCCCACCCCAGAATTTCTCACTCGCTGCCTCAAGACTCCGGAAGTCACGCCGGATCAAGCCCGCGCTTTCCAGGCCAAGTTTTGGCGACTTCACATAGACTCTCAAAAGTCGTCCGCTAAAAAGGTTGACACAGCTGGTGAAGAGGCGCCGCTGACCAAGGCTGAAGAAACCATCTCGAGGAACCAGAAGCTTGCTTCCAGTGCTGACCTCGACCCGAGTGCCGCAAAGTTGCCTTTTAAAGAGCGCATCCGTCCTGGTATGGTCGTTCGCTGGAATCCACCTGCTGGTTTCTCGGGTACCCTGCCCAGGTTGAACATGGTCGTCATCCTGTGCCCCCAGTTGGCCGCGGGGTCCAACGCCCGAGATCTTGACGGCAATCAGGTTAATAGAGAGATAGCCGATGTACAGGAGTCCAACGGCACGAAATATTTGTGTGCAATGGTTCTTCCTGGTTTCATGGCCGATTCCTACGAGATCAGCATGTGGCGTCAGGTGGTCGTAGACGTCGAACAAATGGAGGCCGAGGTGCTGCTGGAGTACGACTCGGCGACGAGATATTGTCATGTAACACTCTAAGTGATATAAAGACAAATTCCAATCTTACAGAGGTTAGAAACAGAAGTTGTAGCGATAAAAGTTGCCTTTTTGCCTATGGAGACCACTTCTTATCTCAAAGCAGTATCAGCGCTGCAACTCGGCATAGCAATTTTGATGTTGCGAAAATGAAATAAATATCGAAAATCTCGTTTGAATTTGGTGAGCAGATTCGAAACGAAGACCAAAACTTCCGCTGGCGTCGCCCAAGACATTCTCGTATTACATACGAGAATGTTACGCGGAAGGCGCGGAGGCAGCGCCGCAGCGATTCCCTTGACTTCGGTACGCTTTTGCCGTTTTCTCTCGTATATATTCCGACATGTCCTCTTAAACTCATTGCATTGCAGTGGTCGATCATTTGTTCAATCAAGATATTGAGCATCACCAGCGACGATTGAGCTTTCTCTGGACCCGTCACCGGCGCGCTTCCCAACCCCATCGTATTGTCGTATTCGCGGCCTTTTAATCTCTTCTTCAAACATCAACAACCATGGACCAGATATCTGACTGCGAATACAGAAGTATATTGACCAAAGACTCTATCAACCCGATCTACGGCTGTCCCGTCGTCGACCGTGAGTCTCACCATACCTCGCCAGCAGCTCATATTCGAATCGCTGGGCATCTCGAGAATACGCGTATCCGGTTCAATTTCTACTTTCCACCAAAAGAGTTTTGGGATGGGAGATTCTTTCAGCTTGTCTTCCCTACCCAGTCAGAACACGCAACCCCCGAGACCATTGGCTTCGCATTAGCCAGCCGTGCCTATGCCGTCCAAGTTACTGGCGCACGTGGCTTCGAGGCAGAGGCTGCTGCTGCTGAGCTTTCGAGGTTAATCGCCAGAAGGCACTATAATGAACCTTTTCGTCGCATCTATGGCTACATCTACGGTGGAAGTGGCGGCTCTTTTCAAGTCATTGGTGCCATGGAGCGATCCAGGGGAATCTGGGACGGTGCTGTTCCTTTCGTCCAGGCGGTGCCGATTTCTGCCCCCAACAACCCCTCAATCAGAGCGATGGCTGGATTAGTTCTCCGGGAGAAGGCTGGCGAAATTCAGGAAGCATTGAGACCCGGTGGCAGCGGCGATGTTCTTGCTGCACTTGACTCCGTCGAGAAAGATGTCCTTATCGAGGTGACAAGACTCGGGATCCCACTCGACACCTTCGAGGACTTTGCGGCAGCAACAGACGCATCAACATTAGCTCTGTTAACGAATCCAATCGTTAATATGTTAGATCCAACCTATGCAAACGATTTCTGGTCGAAAAAGGGGTATCTTGGCACCGAGCCGAGTCCCCTCGGGGATGTCTTCAGAAGGGCGCGGGTCAGCTTTGAAGCCACCGTCCGACATGTCACAGTTGACCTGGCAGGGGTTCCCATCAAAATTCATTTGCAAACTGTGCCCCCCTCATCTGCTACTCTTGACGAGTACTGGTACGACTTCACAGTCTATTCCTCGAGCAACGCCGTCCTTGGTATCTTGACGGGGACCTTCAACGTCATCACCAAGATGGCTACATTCGACCTCAAACTTGTGGGTCAAAACGACACTTCTCTTCTCAAATGTCTCTCCAGAGGAACGATACTCAATATCGATAACAGCCGATCGCTGGCAATGCGGGCCTACTATCGGTATCAAGTCCCTGAGCGGCCTGGTTTCTACGGATTTGACCATCTGCGTGGACCCAAGGGATCTTCGATATACCCCAGACGGACAGTGGATGTCTCTGCACGTCTCGCGGAAGGTGCCTCGGACTCAACTCACGACGGTGATATCAAAGGCAAAATCGTTGTTGTCCAAAACCTGGCCGACAGCGATGCTTTTCCTTGGCACGCCGACTGGTACAGGGGCCAAGTCAAGCAAGTTGCGGGCGATCAGTTCGACAACAACTACCGACTTTGGTTCAACGAGAATTCCGAGCATGACTATGAAGGACCCAAAGACAGTCGAAGGTCACTGGTAGTGCCGTATCGCGGAATGGTTCAACAAGCACTGCGAGACTTGAGTGACTGGGTCGAGAAGGGGGTTCAGCCGCCGAATTCTACGTCTTACAACGTGGGCGAAGACAACTCGATTCAGATACCATCAGCCGCATATGAGCGAGGGGGCATTCAGCCCACGGTCAGCTTGACTGTTGAGGGCAAACAAAAGTTCGAAGCAAGGGTTGGACAGGCCGTCAACTTCCAAGCCAGCGTCGAAGTCCCTCCTGGGGCCGGAAAGGTGGTCTTCGTAGAGTGGGACTTTTTCGGAAAAGGGCGATTCACATATGGTCACCTCGGCGTTCCAAGCTCGAAGGTCCACGTCAATACCGCATTTGCCTACAATACCCCGGGTACCTTCATTGTTGGTCTACGGGTAACATCACAACGTGAAGGTGATCTCAGAACACCATACACAAAGATCATGAACCTGGCCCGTGTCTCGGTGGATGTAGTGCGGCCTCCAGAAATCGCAAACGCATTTCGATTATAGATTAAGAAGCATTGAATACTCAATACATATGTTAGACACTATTCCTTGTATCTGTGTCTGGAAACCGAAAAAGAAGTCATCTACTCGTTCAAATGCTGCAAAACCTCCCTTGTGACACGATAAGAGCTCTCGAAAGCACCAGAGATAAACCCTCGCCACCCGTCAGCAAAGTCGGAACCACAGAAATAGACCCTGCCATGCGGCCTGTGAGCCTCTTCATAATACTTTCTGAGAAATCCGGGCTTCCTCACAGGCATGATTCCCCCTGCAAGAGGATCCTCTGACCACAGGTGAGCTCTGGCAGACGTAAGTGTCAGCCCCTGAGGATGCAACGTCTCAATCAGACGCAACTTCTCCTCGTCAGAATCCAGCTTGTGTCCAGGATGGGTAAGGAATGTGAGCAGCGGCTCGCCGTTCCTCGTGCCGTCGGCGAAAGCACTGGCAAAAGGCAGACTTCCGCCGTCGCATATGATGTTGTAACCGCCGGGAAGACTTGTCGAAGTTGTGGCAAGAAGCTTGCCCATCTTAGTCGGCACGACACCTTCCTTAAACGCAGCTTGGCGCAAGAGAGACAGTGGCGGGTTGAACTCGGTTCTCGAGAGGATGGTCATCGGGATGGTTGTGATGATGGCTTTAGAGTTGAACTCCTTCCCAGACTCTAGCGTCACACTCACGCCGTACGGCTCATCCGTTTGAGAGATGGACTTGACCAGCGAGGAGAAGATCCGATGGCCTTTGAAATCATTCAGGATAGCCAGAGCTAGTGAAGTTGTGCCCTTGCTGAGCTTGTACCTCATGATTGCATCTTCGGTCGTCTTCGGATCGAAGCTGCAAAGAGCATACGTATAGAGCACCGCCGAGAATGCCGCGTCGTTCGAAGGTATCCCGAAGAAAGAAGACGCGTGGGCCTCGATCATAATCCGTTCCTCTTGTGATAAGTCCGTCATCTGAGCAACTCTGTCCTTGATGCTAAGCTCATCGATTTGCGAATACAGCGTGTTGTTCCGCTTGCTGCTCCGTGTATCGAATGGGAAAGGGATGACGGTGCGGCCGCCTTTCCCATCGACATCTAACAGTCGTGCCATAAGCATCTCAATCTTGGCGAGAGTCTTGTTCGCCTCTTGTGAGCTTCGCGAGATAACTGGGTCAGTGGCGTTTGCTTTTGAGTAGATGGTACACCCTTCCGGGACAGCATTGGTTTCAATAAAGTCATTGAGACCGTATCGCTGAACTTCTGCAAAGACGTGTGGTTGTTGCCAGTGGATCCAAGTCCCGCCCATCTCGTACGACTCTCCTCTTTCGCTGTATGCGGTCCACGTGCGACCACCAATGCGATCGCGAGCCTCGACGAGCAAGACACTCTTGCCAGCAAAGGCAAGATCCCGGGCTGCTGATAAGCCTGCGAAACCAGCTCCAATAACGATTACATCGTATTTGTCGGATAGTTCGCCGTGTGGGGTGGATGAGACGACAGCTGGAGTGCGAAGACCTACTCTTTGTTAGTGGGAGCACAACAAAAGTCCAGGATACACACCATATGAGAACCCAGATTGGGGGGTCCAGACGAACCCATCGCGAGAGCGAGACATTTCGGCAGTTTTGTCGATCATTTTGGCGAGAAGCTGATCAAGATGGCTACTTGGTCTGATAACCAGTGATATGACCAAGGATGGTGAGCGGACTTATGATGTGTAAATTATGATTCCAGACTACCGGCTGGCCGTTCGGTTTAAATAAACCAGCAGTGTCCTCAATAAAACGAATAAATTCGCCGTCTGCGCGTGCCGTCCGAAATGTCCAAGCACTTGAACTTCACATCGCCACGACCTCGGTAGCGTCTGCCCGTGACGTCCCCGTTGCATAGTTGTCGGCTCCCACGCGGGATGCGCCCCTTTTGGAGACAAGCTTGCGGCTCACCACGATAATCTTTTAAGCATGTTGGGGAAGATGTCCCGCATCCCATGTCAAAAGAGCTTAACTCAACGTCTGTGGCTGTAGCGGAGGCGAGGTGTCAAGGCGTTGCATCTAGCGGTACGACCGGCCTCCGAAAGACCGCATTGGCATCGGATGACGGAGATTCTTGTGGGAGATGTGTCCGCCTTAATCGGTCATTATTTCTACGCACTAAGCCACTGTCCGCTGTATCTCACTATCTACAGGCTAATTTCGCGATTCGTCTCAAGCCTCTTAGCTATGTGTTGGCGAACGTCACGTAGACAACGGCTGCGGCATGCCTGGCGTAGCATTGTATGAGATGCGGCCAGCTGGAAGGAAGAATAACGCAACTAGAGCCCCCTTTCTGACCTCGGGGTAGTGGTGCGTCCCGGGACCTGGCGACGTCCAGCCTGCGCCCTGCCAACCTTGCATGCCCTTCAGCTCGGCGGTGGCGTCGAGCTGAATAACGCAGTTGATCTCCCCGTAAGGATGAGCATGGTACTGCCCAGTGTACTCTTCCTTACTCTCCATGTAGACAGTCGTGATACTAAAGTATCGCGTTTCCTCTGAGGGGAGAGCTATCTTGCCACGTCGGTACTTTGGCCCGTCGATCTCTGTCTGGGCCACCCAACCCTCCACTAGGCCCTGCTTTATATAGGTGCAGAAATCTTCATAAAACTTATTCCCCGGGCCATATTCTCTGTTCAGTCTCTCTTCTAGATCTTTCCCAGGTGTCCTATCATAAAGTTTCAGTTCTTGACGTCTAAGCGGCGGATGTCGTGATGACTTACAAGTCCTGCACTTCACTTAGGAATTCTCGGCATCGAGAGACGAATTTCTCGGCCGTAGGCCATGCAGAAAGGTCGAGGACGGTGGCACTGTCTGTCTTGTTCATTGCAGCGTATTGGGAAGAGGTTCAACAAGAGGGGCTCGGCATTGGGCACTGGATGCTGCCGGTATTTAAGGTCGGAATGGAGATGCGGGGAAAAGATCAACCCATCAGATCTTAGAACAGCCACTGGCTTTGGTCGCATGACAAAGTAGCTGATGATTCTCGGTTTTCAGTGATCTGACGATTCAAAGAAGCCCCATAAAGAAAAAGAATGATGTTTACGAAAGTATTCAACGAGGGACTCGGTGAATACATGGCTAACACGCCCCCTGTCGGCCAGTATCAGACCCCTTCCCGCTGTACGTTAGGTTATTGAAGCCAGCCCGTCCAGCGAAGATGGTTCGCAGCAGCCGTGCCTCAAAGTGGACTTGCTTCTATCCGTACAGGCTCAGGCTCGCCTTGCCATTTTCCAGGCAAGATCAGCGTGACGTGCATGGAAGGTATGGTTAGTAACAGGCTCTGGGAAGAAGCCGAGTGGATGTTCCTGGCTCCGTCCCTCGAGTGTCCGGGTCATCTTAGAGGGTCTCGTTCAGCAGCCAGGCAGCACCCCACCTGCTTCAATGCACGAGCCACCTGAGAGCTCCCCACCACACGTGCCTGCGAGTTGCAGCTTTGGGCAGTTTCGCGTCGCTGCCTGCTGCTGTGGCGCGCTCTGAGTTGCTCCACGCGACGACCACTTAAGCCGCTCCGTCAAGGTGCTGCTGTTTTGCGAACACACCTTCGTCGTCTCACAGCTCTTCCCAGCATCGCTAAGCAGACTATCAATTGACAAGACTGGCGGTCGGTCTGCTCGCCAAGATGCCCGAATTCACAGGTATGCTCTACCGGTAGCCCCTTACAGCTGTTTGCTGACCCTATGCAGAGGCGGACACCATCCGCATCCTGGTTGCGACAGACAACCATGTCGGCTACGAAGAGCGCGATCCGATCCGAAAAGACGACAGCTGGAAGACGTTCGACGAGATCCTGAACATTGCCAAGGCCCAAGATGTATGCAAGCTTGCCAGGCTATTACCGAGACTCGGCCCGCTAACCTGTATCGCAGGTCGACATGGTCCTCCTCGGCGGTGACCTGTTCCACGACAACAAGCCTTCGCGAAAGTCCATGTACCAGGTCATGCGCAGTCTGCGAAAGAACTGTCTCGGCATGAAACCTTGCGAGCTCGAGTTCCTCAGCGACGCGAACGAAGTTTTCGAGGGCGCATTCCCCAACGTCAACTACGAAGACCCCGACATCAACATCTCCATTCCCGTCTTCTCCATCCACGGCAACCACGACGACCCAAGCGGCGAGGGTCACTACTGCTCTCTGGACCTTCTCCAGGTAGCCGGTCTCGTCAACTACTTTGGTCGTATTGCAGAGGCCGACAATATCGAGGCGAAACCAGTCATGCTGCAGAAGGGTCAAACCAAGCTGGCCCTCTACGGACTGAGCAATGTGCGCGACGAGCGCATGTTCCGTACCTTCAGAGACAACAAGGTCAAGTGGTATCGCCCGGATATCCAGGAGGGGGACTGGTTCAACCTTCTTACCGTACATCAAAACCACCACGCCCACACCGCCACCTCATACCTCCCCGAGACTGTCCTGCCCAACTGGTTGGATCTTGTTGTCTGGGGTCACGAGCACGAGTGCCTCATCGATCCCTCGCAGAATCCTGAAACTGGCTTCCATGTCATGCAGCCTGGCTCTTCCGTCGCCACGTCGCTAGTACCAGGCGAGGCCGTCCCGAAGCATGTCGCCATCCTGAATGTATCTGGAAAGGAGTTCAAGGTGGAGAAAGTTCCCCTCAAAACCGTCCGTCCTTTCATCACGAGGGAGATCGTCCTCTCCAGTGATTCGCGCTTTAAGGGTTTGCACGCCAAGAAGGACAACCGTCAAGAACTCACCAAGAGACTTATGGTGGTCGTCGAGGAGATGATTCAGGAGGCAAACGAGGATTGGGCTGCCATCCAGGAGGACGAAGAGGAAGAACCTCCGTTGCCTTTGATCCGTCTCAAGGTGGAGTACACCGCCCCGGAGGGTGGTAAATACGACTGCGAGAACCCACAGCGATTTTCCAACCGATTTATTGGCAAGGTTGCCAATACCAATGACGTCGTCTACTTCCACCGGAAGAAGGCCGGTGCCTCCAGTAAGTGTAGTTTACCCACGGATCACCAGATACAAGCTGACATTCCAAAGAACGCAACGCCGAGACAGATATCCCCGAGATGCTGGAAGAAGCCCTAGGATTGGACACAATCAAAGTGGAGGCCCTGGTTCAAGAGTTCCTAGCGGCGCAGTCCCTGAAGATTTTGCCTACGGCTCCTTTTGGAGACGCTGTCAACCAGTTCGTCAACAAAGACGACAAGCACGCAATGGAAGAGTTCGTTAGTGAGTCACTGGCTGGCCAGGTCAAGCAAATGCTTAGCCTCGACTCCGACGACGAGGACTATGACAAGCACATGGAGATGTACAGATCCAAGCTTGAGGAGCAGTTCTCCAAGGGACTGTTGAAGGAGCGTTCGAAGCGGAAGATCAAGCCCAAGCCAGACGACTGGGATTCTGATATGGACGGTCATTGGGAAGATCAGCCTGGCGTCATTGAGACAGAGACGGTCTCAGAGCCCGCTACGGCTAAGGCGAGATCGAGACGGGCGCAGACACAGGACGACGACGACGACGACATGATGGACCTGGAAGATGAGCCAGTCGCCCGTCAACCTGCAAAGCGCGGGGCAGCCGCTCGTACCACAAAAGCTGCTGCACCGAAGAAGGCCCCGGCGAAGAAGGCGGCGCCGGCAAAGAAGGCACCTGCCAGAGGCCGCAAGAAGCCCTTGTTTGAGGAAGAGGATGAAGAGGAAGAGGATGTGGTGATGGATGATGATGACTTTGAGGAAGTACCCGCCCCCACGCGCGGTAAGAGATCGCAACCGGCACGCGCAGCACCCAAGACGACGCGCCAGACAAAACTCAACTTTTCTCAGGCTGCTGCTTCGCAGAAGGCGGTGGAGATTAGCGACGACGAGATTTCCGAGGATGACGCTTTTGAGCCTGCCCCGACCACCCGGTCCAGACGGAGATGAGAAGATGCGTTAGAGCGGGACTCTTTGTCGCTACAGAGCTACAAAGCATGTGTAATAGGCCCTGAAAAGTTCATGATGTTAAGCTAGTAAGGCGGAGTCAGGGAGCGGCGTTTTGCTTTGACTCACCTCATGATTAAGAAGAATCAAGAAACCACGCTTATGAGACGACTGGCAATTCCTTCCACATTGAAGTTGTGAGATGTAAGTCTGAATACAAACCGCCTGAGGATCCCCAAGCATGCGCAAATTTGCTTATCCCAAAGCCTGACGTAAGGCCCGTCTGCGTTTAATCCCGATTGCCCAACCTTTCTTTTTTCGCTTGTCAGCTCGAAGCAAGCGCAGCAATCTAGCAAACAATCCTGTTGTGTGCGCCTGCATGAACGCCTAGCCTCCGCTGTCAGGCGGCACAAACTAAGCAAGCAGTGGAAGCTGAGATCTTGGCGCATATAAATCCGAGGATTCCCCTTGAGCTAGGTTCAGCTGGGTCTCACGTCGATTGACTACACACTCCTTTGGCAGAATGAGCGTGTCGGCGGTCGTGATCGATAACGGGTTTGTGCAATTCTTAGAGTATATGTATTTCAGGGCAGGTTCTGACTTTTGATAGGACCGGTTTCATCAAGGCTGGGTTCGGAGGCGATCAACATCCTTCAACCATATTTCGTAACTTTACCATGGCAACATGTCTCTGTTGACTTCACGTCTGACATGAATCAGCGAGCGTTATTCAATATCCCACGAGATCACCATTAGACGTGCAGCTAAATACTAGTGGATGGCAAGTAAGCCATCATGCATTTCATTTCAAGACTACTTCGTTCGAAAGGACTAACATGAGTAAGTCGGTCTACAACATCGGCCATGCGGTCAACCCAGATCCCCCCATCCCGGGATTCCAGCGTATCCGTCGACCTCTCGATCCATACGGCATCATTCAGACATGGGACGACATGGACAAGATATGGAGACACACTTACAAAGAAATCGGCGCCAACCCATCCTCGCACCCGGTGATCATGACCGAGCCGGGAGTCCACGCTCCCAAAGACCAACGGTTCCCGACCCCCCTCCCGGTCTGTTCTGCTGTGAATTTCTGACACCCCTCAGCCTCCGCCAATCAACCTACGTCTTTGAAAGCCTCCACGCCCCCTACTACTTCACCACAACCCCAGCCCTCCTGTCCTCCTACGCCGCCAACCTGCCGACGACCCTCGTGGTCGACTCAGGCCACACCGCGACCTCGATCCTCCCGGTCCGCGACTTCGCCCCGCTCCACGCCCTCGCCCGGCGGTGCGAGGTCGCGGGCCAGGCGGTGGACGATTGGCTCGCGCACACGCTCCGCGCCGACGAGCACGTCCACTTCCCCTCCAACGGCGCCGCCGACGACTTTGTCAGGCTGGCCAAGTTCGAGCGCGTGCGCGTCGCGATGGACTTTGAGAAGGAGTATGTCGAGTGGACCCTGCGCGCGCCTGACGACGAGAAGAGGTGGACACTGCCGGACGGGAAGAGCTTGGTGCCCGGGCGGCCGGTGGAGGTGATGGCGGGCGAGGTGATGTTCAACCACGCCATCTTGGGGCTCGATGTGCCCGAGTTCTACCACGGGGTCTGTTCGAGCGTGGCGAACGCTGGGGAGGGGTTGGGAGGCACGCTGTTGAGGAACGTGTTGCTGGTGAGTGTGCGCATTGAGGCGTTGTTGGAGGAATCGCTGACGTAGATGTAGGCGGGTGGGAACACCATGATACCAGGCTACGGCGAGCGGCTTAAGAAGGAGCTGGGGAGGATGCTCCCGAGAGACCAGGTTAACGTCATTTCACCGCGCAACAGAATTTACTCCGCTTGGACAGGGGGCTCCATCGTCAGTCAGCTTTCCACGTTCAAAAATATGTGTATTTCTAGAGAGGAGTACGACGAGACGGGTCCTGAGGTGGTCAACAGGAAATGCCTCTAAATAAATTCTTTCTTACAATTCGCCTCAATCTGCTGAGGCGCATCGTATCGTGCTGCATCGTTTCATTACCAGCGCCGGTGTCGTGCTGTGAGATCCGACAGGCTGCTGTGGGTGTAGGTATCGTTAACAAGGGAAAGGAAATTTCAAGCACGCTTCCTTCCCCCGAGTCAGTTTCCTACGCCATGTTGAGCCCGTCGATATCCCTGGTGAAAAATAAAATGAAAAAAAGTCTTTCCGTCCAAAGCACGCCCACCCATTACGCTTCTTGTATGAAACTCATTCGATATCGATGCGCCTTACCGGTCTGAAACTCCCAATATCCGCCAAGCCCACCATTCTTTCCGTTCGTTTCGTCTAAATCATCATCGTAAGTTGCTGCTGTTGTCGCTGGTGGTTCCGCTCGGCGAGGATGCGTTTGATACGCCGTCGGCCGGTGTTGAAGAAATGGTACTGTGCGGGGTATTCCTGTTCGATGCTCTGGGGGTAGGTCCAATACACGAGTCCCGCGAGGACGAAGCTGAGGGCCTTCGTGATGGGCGTGGAGCGGGGTTTGTTTCTGGCAAAGTGACGCCATTCGCATGCGAGAATGAGGTTGCCCAGTACGTTGAGCAGGCGGAAGAACATGTTGAGGACCACAAAGACCAGGGTGACGGTGACGCGTCTATCCTCGAGTCCCTTGAAATTCTCCTCGTTGAGGTTGATGAAGACGTAAAGAGGCATGCACCAGAGCCCGAGAATTGCAGCTTCGAGGATCAGAGATAGGTGATATGTGCGCTTGTGCTCTCCTCTCGTGATGAGGAGCGCCAAGCACCACCATAGTAGAATAAAGTTGACCTACGAGTGTTAGTGGGAGCGTTTCAAAATTTAGGTAGGCCGTGACACTCACAATAGAGGGCGCTAGAACCAACACTTTGTCCTTGAAATATCTCCAGCAGAGAGCGCCGGCGACGACGCCAAGGCACAGCTGGATCCATCCCAATACAAAGTAAACCAAGAGCACGTTGTTGTAGTGCTCATAGCAGCCCTTGTGGAACTCCGGCTGGTTCGGCGCGGAGGCATTAGTAACGGGATAACCGCACCATCGGCAGATCCACACACTGGCGTAGTTTCCCAGAGCAACCTTCTTTCCAACAGAAAGTTCGTTCTTTTGATAGGCGCAGTCGACACACTTGCTGGCGAGCGGATAGCGCGGGTGGTTGTAATCGGCCCATAGCAAACTACCACGGGTGGGGTCGTACTTGAGACAGACGTAGCAGTGCGCAAGCAGAGCCAGGCGAAATTGCTCGCCGAAAAGGTCGCGGATAGTCTGTTTGGTGAGGAAGTTACGGTAAAAGCGACACGTGCGGCGCAGGTTTTCCAGTTCTCCGAACTCAAGATGGTCGATGATGAGAAGCTGCAGCTCCGGGGGCAAGTCCATCAGACTGTTGCCCGTTTTTGGCCCGAGGATCCGTGAGCGCCGACGGGACAGCCGGGGGTCGAGGGAGGCCACTTTTTCAATGACTGAGTCGCGCCGGGAGCGGGACGTGCGGGGCCGGGCGCTCTGGGATCGGAGGGATACGGCATCCTTCTCTCTGGTGTGAAGTGATCGCGAAGATCGCTCAAGATCCAGCGGCAGGGGGGAGTTTAGTGGCGATGGGAGGTATTGGCCAGAGGGCGAGGGTCCTGCGGATAGGTTGAGAGGCTGAGGAACGGGTGAGTTCGGGTGGACTTGAGGCGCAAACGAGATGGCAGACGGGATGAATGAGGGCGAAGCTGGCGAGTGTACAATCGCTGGAGGCAGTGGTGACAGCGGCGACACGGGCTGCGACAGGTCTGCCGGTACATTGAGAGTCTGGATATGAGTATTGCTGTTGTTCAACGTCTGGGCATTTGACATGGCCGAGACGGTAGACCCGGCAGACTGAGGTGGATGCGAGTGATCAGATGCATCGTGGGTGGGGGCTTGGGCTGAGGGGCCCAGGGTAAGGGTAAGAGTTGGGAGCACATGCTGCGAGTGAGCTGCCGTGTGAGGTGGAGGTGATGTTGGCTGGTGGTGCGGTGTGGTAGGTGTGAAAGGCGGCGGTGAAGCCAGCGGGACGGCCTCATAGTGGTTTTGAGAAGAAGCCGTCTGAACAGGAGGAGGAATCTGAGCCTCAAGATCGGGCTGCTGGCCGGTCGGTTCGTGGTGCGGTTCCTCGGCGCTGGTGGATGAAGCGGACAGAGATGGGGCCGACGAGGTGGGGGAGCTTTCAGATGATGATGGCTGTCCGTCACGGCGTACCTTGTTGCGCACGCCGCGGGCAGCGCGATTGATGCCTCTGCCGAAAGAGCGGACTACCTCGAAGGCATCCATAGTGCGCCCGGCACGGGACTGCGAATGTCTGGATGGTTTGTTCACGGGTGTCTGCTGCCGTGAACGGGACGGTTTGAAAGGCAGATCTGATCTGGCGCGGGCGGTTTGGCGACCGGGGATTCCCTCGTCACGGACGGTTGAAACTTGCTGGAACCCGGCGTGCTGCAGAGAAGCCGATGTGAAACGGGCTTCCAATCCGCACCGGGAATCCTAGGCGACAGTTGGGGCGATGTCGACTGAGGTGTGAGGTTGACAAGAGTGTAAAATACTGAGGATGCGTATGCGCATGTGCCTGCTTATGCGTATGAGGAGGTGCGATGCCGTGTGTGTAAGGTGTATTGCGTTGTGTAAGGTGGGTTTGTCTCTTCTCTGCGTAGCGTCTTGTGTTGGCTTGTTGGTTGGTCTTAGCCCACGTCTGCAAAGGCAGCCTCGGTGGCTGTAAACCGGCAGGACATGATTCTGGTTCAAGAGAAAACGGGAGTGTAAGGTAAGGGAGGGGAAGGGTGGAAAAGGAGACGTAGTAATAAGGTAGGGAAGAAGACGAAGAAGCGCCCTTGCGGAGGAGACGGACGGCGGAGGAGACGGATGATCGGTGATGATCGATGGTGATGTGGTAGCCCGCCCAGACCGATGACAGGGACCTTTTTGCTTTCTTCTTTCACAACAACTTGGTGTGCGCTGTGGTCAGGTCAGGTCAGGTCAAGCAACCCGTGTGCCTACCGACAGGCCTCATTCGACGTAAAGCAGGGTTTCTGTCGATTGTCCCCTTGATTTTTTGGGGATTCCGTTCGCTTCGGTTCGGATGTATGTATGCCAGCAAAAGTCGATGGGGGGACTGGGGAGTCGAGCGAGGGGCAAACCAGACCGCAACAGCAGAGCGAGCACACAAACGCACACTCGCGTCCAGTCTTCTCGAAAGTGGTCTCACCTTTTTAGGGGCGGCCTGCAAGTTTGCAACGAACGGGCTGGAATGAGCAACCGCCACGCAGCGATCGCAAGGGGGTTGGGACCGCCCAAGTGGTGGTAGTGCGTCTTGGTTGCCCGCGAGGGAGGAGAAGGGGAGCAGACCAGAGGAGAGGAGAGAGGGAGCCAGCGGTGTGACATGCACGATACCCGCCAATCGTATGACGACGCCGTGGCGGCTGAGGTACCACGTGGGTCGTTGCTCGCGGCTTCGAGGTGGGGTTGTGCCCGTGTCAGCTTCCCGTCCGGCGTCAGTGTGTTTGGGCGTCAACAAGCGTCAGGGTCGAGGGGACGCTTGTTGGCTGGTGTCTGCCTTGTTCCTGTTCCTGTTCCTGGAGCGAACGGAGGAGGTGGAGGAGTTGGAGTAAAATAATAACAAGGAGAGGGCAGAAGCTTTGGTAGATAAAAAGACCACACAGCCAAAATACCGCTTGCTTGATTCAAGCGTACCTTCAGTCTTGGTTCAGCAAGGTTCTCCCGTCAGAGTAAGTTGTGTGTGTGATAGTAGTGGAAGAAAGTAGACGGATGCACACTGGTCATGTCAACCATCTCATGTCCACAGCAGGCAGCCCTTTCAACCCAAGACCAAAGACGACGAGACTGTTCTGGTCTTAAGAGTCCACGCAAGTAGAGGCAACGCCAAGCCAGGAGGCCTTCCTGCATGGTGCACCACTTTGAGGGTGCTCAGATCAGCCTCAGGCGGCATCAAAACGTGGCCAAGCATCTCCATGTCCATCTTTAGCAACTTTTGGCTGCTTGTTGCTGGCCACTCGTCTGCTGCTGCATGTTTCGAAAAACTAGGGGTTCCGCTCTCCCTGGGTCCCCGTCACCCATCATCCATGTGGCCTGCTGGCACGCTGGACGATGCCTCCCAAAAGGCTCTGGACCGCCCGTCTAGCTAGGGCTGTTGCAGGCCATTACAGACCATGGCAGACTGCAGTGGTGGCTCGCATTGGCCAAGCCATCCCGGCTGTCGTCGAGGAACGTTTCAAGTGAGCTTGTCTACACCAGTGTCCAGCTTGCTGTGCAGCGAGTATGTAGTCGACCACCGAACGCGCAAGAAGCCATCCCCGCATTTCCGTCTGTCCTTTGCCTTCCATTCCCGCAAGCTTGTCAGCAGACAGCGAGGTAGAAGCTCCCGGAAGAAGCGTGCTGCCGCTGTTGCTGCTGCTTGACTAGGACCAATGACACGGAGAGCGCGGCCTCCAGCACTCCGGATCGCGGAAGGGCTGGCTGTGCCTGGTGCGGACATGCTGTGGTGGCCATCAATCAAGCTTTGTGAGCCGACGCGGCGGCTGCGTATCACACGAGGTTGTCTGGGCAAAGAGGAGTTTGGATAGCTTGGCTAAGTTGTGTTTCTGTTTCCAAAGTCGACTCAGCACGACGCGATGTAACCGGTGCATATGAGAGCTTCGCCGGAATGACTGTAAGTTGATGACTGATGAGATCACATGTTGGCCCGCGATGTGGTAGAGCCAGGGCAGAGGTCGGCCAGCCAACCATTCGACAGGCAACGGCTGGTGAGGTGAGAGTTGAGGGTTCCATCGTCGTCTTTGCTGCGGTCGGTCCGCGCCATCAGCTGACTCAATCTAGGTTGGGCAAAGTTTCGAACTCGATCGGCGGCGCGTGATGATGCGCATTCAAAGTCAAGCTAGGAAGAGGGGACGGGAATTGATTGACGGGAGGGGACACCAGAGGGGGAAAGAAATGGGGGGCGGCGATGCACTGCGCTGGGAGGGGAGGGGAAAATGTCACTCGGCACTTGGCCGCAGCTGGTGGACTTCCAGGAACAAGCACTTGGCACCTGCCCGGGCTGCGGCTTTCCAAGGAGACCAAGTTCCAGTGTTGCCCGTGACTGCCGAGCCCAGATTGGCTTGGGAGCCTTGGGAGCCTGGGGTTGCCGGTTAAAAGTGTGGAGTCATCCGAACGGCCCGTGTGTTTAGGCACTTACATAAGACGACAGGAGATCAAGCCACATCATGTGATCCGCGCCACACCACTAGCCTCGTGCGGGACGCTTGCCTTGGTCTGCGTTTTGCGTCGACATCAAGGCCAGCCTCAGCAACATCACTGTCGAGATGGCAACGCTCACGTCCTCGACCCGAGGCGGGCTGCATATGGTTGCAGACTGATGCAGACACCATCCACTCTACTCTCTGAGACTCTTTTCGCCGTCTCGCCCCAATGCAGCGGGCTGAGGCGAGGGCTGCTGCTGGCATCCGCCGCAGAGCCTCACCTTCAAGGTAGGTCAAGGTATGTGTCTCTCGACCGCTGTGTCCTCTCCTTGCTTCTGCTTGGCTTGTTCGAGCTGAACGAGCTCTTCTCTTATTTTCTGCTGCGGCTTCGTCAACTCAGCGAGTTGCGGTTGGCAAAGCCGCCCCTTGGAGACACTGCAAGTGGCAGCCTCTTCCATACGGCTCACCACCATCACCCGCACTCTCATCAGCCTCCACGCCTCTGCCCGCAGTGTCCACCTCGGCCATTGTGTTGGGTTGTGTGCAACGGACCGGGTTTACTTCGGGTGCCGTTGCATTCCGGCAATAACATTCTGTCAAGGAAGTCTGGGCACTTGCCGCTAGCGCCATAACATAGCCATCCACAGCTCAGCTCCCAGCAGCCAATCAGAGGACCAAAACACGAAAGCTCAGCAAACTCCCAAGCAAACTCTGCCCACCGTACCTTACCTTACACGGGGAGGGCACCAGCCAGGCAGGCAGGCTTGGTTCAGCAAGGACGATAGCAGCAGCAGCAGCAGCAGCAGACGAGAAGGCAGCGACACCACCTGTTGGACCGTGGCAGGAAGCACTGGCCTCACCTCGCCTCGCTTTGCCTTGCCATGGACGTCTACAGAACCACAGAGAGAGATTAGCACCCGAAGCACGACTGGATTGCAGCAGGAGAAACCGACAAGAAAAAAAAAAGGCACTCGGGCACCAACCACACCGACTCGAACTCGAACCTGAAGAAGGTGCCCTGCGATTTTCCTGCAGCACCACGACCGCACTGCACCCGCACCCGCAACGCACCCGCACCTCTGCACCGCACCGCAGCAGCACCCACCGAAAAGCTCCCTCCCACTCACCACTCACCACTCACCACTCGCCCTCCGCTCCCATTCGCCCCCCCTGTCCTTCCAAGTCCTGCCGTCACCGACGAACAACAACAATCACGGTCAGCCTTCTGCTAAATTTCTGCCACCTCCATCCACCTCCACCAAAGCTTCCCTCGACAACCCCTCCATCTTCAACCACCACCCGAAACAGCTTCTTCGAGTAGAGCTCTTCTTTTTCCAACATTGCTTTCGATTCGCGCATCCCCACTTCGATCGAATCATCGATTTTATTCGCTTTTGAAAACCCTGTCGAATCTTTTCGCGCATCACTCGCATCACTATAAACAATGGCTGGCGGCAAGGGAAAGTCTGGCGGAAAGACGTCTGGAGGCAAGGCCACCGCCGAGGCCCCCAAGAAGCAGCAGAGCCACTCTGCCCGCGCTGGGCTCCAGGTAAGTTTTGCGACTTGATGATGATGCGCCGCCTTTGCACGCCGATTCTGGGCCCCGATATCGATCATCGACCGACCACTCCTTTCCGACGCGTCCCAACGTCAATCCACGACAACCGCCTCTTTTATTCATCGCTCTCGATCATACGGCGGCCTCTGCCATCAACTTCTACTGCGCGCCGCCGATTTTTCGTCGTCCACGCGGAGGCGGCGTGATGGATACGGGAGCTGGTCGCGTGCACGATGCTTCGGGAGCTCAGACTTGACGGCGCAAACCCGGATGGCGCATCTGGCCATTATTCTGGCTGCGCAGCCTGCTGATCATAACCAAAAAATTCCAGTTCCCCTGCGGTCGTGTCAAGCGTTTCTTGAAGGCCAACACGCAAAACAAGATGCGCGTTGGTGCCAAGGCAGCGGTCTACGTTACGGCCGTCCTCGAGTACCTGACTGCTGAAGTTCTCGAGCTTGCGGGCGTAAGTGCATCCTTCCCGACGCCCCGCGTTGACTCATCGCGGCGTCTGCCTAACGTGCAAACTAACACCGTGACAGAACGCCGCCAAGGACCTGAAGGTCAAGCGTATTACGCCCCGCCACCTTCAGCTCGCCATCCGCGGAGACGAGGAGCTCGACACTCTGATCCGCGCCACCATCGCTTTCGGTGGTGTTCTGCCACATATCAACCGCGCGCTTTTGCTCAAGGTTGAGCAGAAGAAGAAGGCCAAGGCCCTCGAGGCTTAAGAGATCGGAGACGAAGCACCAAAGCAGAGAGTTGTCATGACTTCCACCCTGCTCACTCCAATGTCTCTTGCAAACTGTTGATATTCCCGGTTGTCTTATGTTTTTCCTGGTAGTTTGGGGTGAGGTTGGTTTGAAGGGATGCTGTTTCTGGCTTTCCTTATCCTGTTCAGGGACGACACTGTTGGAGAAAAATGTGCTCTGAATAACGTCTCGCAAGACGAGGCACACGCGACACAGCGTCTCGTGCTGGTGTTTTTGCACTCGACGTATAATGGGCTACGATGCTTGACGGGGCCGTAGAGGAGCCGAGAGCGCCTCGTTCCCAAGGAATGAAGGGTACCTGCAGATGCGCCCCGAATCTGGCACTCACATGTACAACAATTCAAGGTTCCTGTTTCGGTTCCTAAGAAGGCACGCGGATATGGCACTGGCTGATGGGCTTAGGTAGACGAATAAAAATTGTAATGGGGTGCACACTCATGATTGCAAACTCGGTGTGACTGCTTCTTTTCCACTGCGTCTCTCCTGACGACTATCCGCGAATATCCTCATACACCATGTCAACATCTTCGTCCTCGGAAGCCGCTCCGTACCCACTGTCGTCATCCCACCAGTCCTCCCACTCCTCTCTCAGGCGCGTCTACGTATACGTCAAACCCCAACCCTGAGTTTTCGACCCGATGAGCCCCAGCAAACCTGCTCTCCAGATAATCCGCTGCCGCGAAAACGCAATCCGCCTCGTCGACGCCCATTCTCAAGATCGACCTCGCGGCCTCCTCCATGGACGGTGAGTCCGGCGACAAAGCCAGCGGGCTAAGCGGCGAGACCTCACCACCGTCAACCACCGTGAATCGCTGCCGCATCTCCGACCTGAGGTGGTGGCATTCGGAGGGATAGTCGCAGTCGTCCCGACAGCTTCCCACGCGGTCGTATAGCCGCCTCTTGCGCTGCGCTTCCCGCTCGCCCCAAGACGGTTTTGTGTCTTGCCGCAAGGTGTCCTCTTCCTCTGCTGTGCGACGGAGTCGACGCCAGTCGCCCCACGCGGCCCAGCGCTCGTAGTCGAACTCCATGGCGCAGGGCCCGGCTCTGCTTCTGCGACGACTGCTGCTGCTGCTGTTGGTCGGGGGCGGAGGCGGGGTGGTGCACATTACGTGCCCGCAGTGGAGGCAGCGACGGGTGCAGGAGAGGCGGAAGGTTGCGTTGCAGATGTGGCAGCGCCAGATCCAGGCCTGGGGTGTCGGCGGCGGCGGCAACGGTGACGAAGACGACGAGGAAGAGGGGGCGGTGTCGATGCTGTCTTGGGAGCTCGTTGGTGCAATGGCCGTTGAGTCTCGTCGCTGAAGGATAGGCCTATCTGGAAGGGCTGTTCTTGCTTGCATATCGCTCCGCTCGATGGGGCGATGCTGGAGAAGTCGTGGTGTCGTCATGAGAGCCGGGAGATCTGGCTATTGGCTGAGCTTTGATCCAGCGAGGTGGTCGTTGGCAGTAAAATTTCGCTAGAAGAACCAAGCATCGATTATCAAGAAGATGAAGGTGTTATTCACCCCCTCCCAAGCTTGACAGGTGAATGAGTCCTCCCAATGGGATGAGTGCCATACACATCCAGTGACTGTCGAACAAACCGAACGATCAAACCAACCCCGCTTGTTGTCGTCTTCCAGAGTCCATGACAGGATGGGAAAGACCAAACATGTATTTAACCCAACGAGTTCTCACATCTCATCCTCACCCGATCAGAACACAGCATGGATTTCTTCCGACCTAGGCTCCGACATGTTGGTTCATCAAAGACATCCCTCACCGCCGAGGTGGTGCGAAACGTGCCCGGTTCAAAGACAGAATCTTTGTGTGGTTGAACATTGACACGTTTGGGGGCCGAGAAGGTCCACGTCTCACAAAACGCCGTGAGGTCAAAGTACGGCGGCCGAATACTCGGACCAGTCAGCCACCAGTCACCAGTGAGACAGCTTCGTTTCCAGAAAAGCAGCATACACATTCATTCATTCACTTATGACTAGGACCTCAGATATGAAATCAAACGCAGTATATTTGACAACGCGCAAAACGGCACAGCGGCCCAGTGTGTGCGGCTCTCCATACAATCATCCTCTGTCATCGTATTATCTCTCTCTCTCGCTCTCTGTGCCAATGCACATTACAAAACAGGTCTGGCCGTCCTCGCATTTCTGCCATCTCTCATCTCGTCTCTCCCATTTGTCTTCCGAAGACATCCACAAATGATCATTCGCTGATCTCGTCCTGTCATCCAACCTCGATGCTCGCAAATGCATATCAAAAAGATCCGACGGAAATAACAAAAAGCAGCAAACTCTAACAAGGTCCCTATAAAGACCCGAGTAAATAGAACACGACCAAGCAGCCCCAATGCAGCCTCAACGCCAATTTCCCAATCAAAGTTTCTCTTAGAGTGCCATCCCATAAGAGCCAGGCTCAGGCTGGGAGGCTCAGTCAAGTCTGAGAGAAGATCGATGCGGAAAAAATGGGACCTGAAATTGAAAACAAGAAAATGCCAAATATGAGAAGAAAAAACGCCCAGAATCAGATCAAACTTTTTTTCCTTTTCTTCAATGACCCGCTCCTGGGTTTTTGGTACTTTGGGTAGAGGCTCAATCGAAAAACTTGGCCGTGAGATGAGCCCATGAGAGGCTTGAAACATCCATCCTCAGTCGTCAATGGTGTGTGTGAAAATGATGCCGGACCGCGATATTAGGTGGGTATAGTCATGGTCGCCGAAGCATGGTCTCGTCATCCAAAAAACGGTTTTTGTCGAGCATGCTGGTACAGCTATCTAGACATAAAAAGGTCGTAACAGCGTATTCATCGTCAAAGGTGGTTCATATGCTTCCGCGCGCCATGAAAGGAGGTATGGCGGGGAAACAGGGAGAGGGGTATAGGGGACCGCCATGGGCGCCGTGCCATGTCGAAATGGTTGCCCATATCAAGTGTTTTTTTTTCTTGTATCCAGGTTTCTTTTCCGTTCATCCTTCTCTGGTCGTGAAAACAGCGATGAGCCGAGGTTTCCGTTGCCGGGCGGGTGACGTGAATCCAACGAAGGATGCCGCCGCGACGTAGGAATCTTCTATCCACCAAATCCGAGACGGCCGAGCGAAACATCATGACGCTGCCAAAGGCTCGTGTCCAACAAATCATCATTATAAGCAGTATGGGTGGGAGAGTGTCCATAATGAAAGACAAATGGCATGAATAACACAGGGTTGCCGATAACCGAGCTGTGGGGGGGCTGGGTGAACTCGTCGAATGTCGTTTGTAGTGGTCTATACGTCGCGAGTCATGAATCGTGTCCTCATTGTAGTGGTTGTCGTGGCAGTCTCGGCGAGGAAATTAGGGTTCTTGTCTAGTGGAATCGAGACGCGCTGCCAGCACGGGGAGCGTTGTCGGAGGAGTCTGTTGCTGTTTAGCCTCAAGCTCGTGTCAAGCATCACGGGCAGAAAAACTCACCGCTACCACGCTGCATGTGGCCGTTGGAGCGGTTGCGTCCGTTGAACCCGGCGGAGGGCTCCCACTCGGGGCCCCGGGGCTGTCTGTCGGGAGCGTTGCGGCTCGAGCCGTTGGCGCCAGGACGCTGGCTGCCGATAGCACCGGGCGTGCTGCGCGCCTGCGTGTGAGCTGAGGCGTCATAGGATCCCAGGTTCAAGCCACCGAGGGAGCTGAGCAGGCTGCTGTCGGTTCCAGGGGTGCCGACTGTGCCGGAAGTAGGGGTGAGGTTGGGGGTCGCGAGAGCGCCGGTCTGGTTGACACCGCCGTTGTAGTCGCCGAAGCGAGCACCCGGGTTGCCAGACTGGGGGATGTTGCCGATGCCGTTCATGGCCGTCAGGTAGCTCGAGGAAGACGCAGACGGGCTAGGGCTGAATGATCGCAGGTCGGCGAAGCTCTTGGCGGCACGCAGGTTGGCCAGGCCGCTGCCATCGGGGCTGCCGGGAAGCTCAAGGGTCGGGCCCTGACGGCCGATGGCATGGGAGTAGTTGGTGCTTGCGCTGCGAGCCTCCCGATCAGCGGCGAAATCAAACGTGGCAGCTCTGCTCAGGCCCTTCTTGTGGTAATCCAATCCAACGGCAGGCAGGTGGTTCTGGGTTGTGGGTGACGGCTGAGGACGCTTGAGAATGTGGATCTGTCGCGAATCGGCCTCTCCGATGGAGTTGTGCTCGAGTCCCATGTTGTGAGCCAAGATGTGAATCTGGCGACGCTGCTCAGGGGAGACGGAAGCAGGGAAGATGAGAATCTCCCGGCTGCTGTCACGCTTGAACAGAGTGAGTTCGGTGTAGAACTCGAGCGTCTCAGGGTCGTTCAGGTTCACGTCTCCTGTCGCAACATTAGCGTGCGACACCGTATGGCTCGTGAGAGGCGACGTACCGAGCGCACTGCGGTTGCTGTTGCTGGACATGCTGTTCAACGTCTGGAGAGAAGGCTGCTGGTGCAGCATGGGGGCGCGGTGCTGCTCCTCGAGCTGGCCGCGTCGCTCCCTCTTTTCACGCTCGATGCGCTCGCGCTCGGCCTCGGGCAGCATCTTCTTGTACTCGACCCTGAGCTTCCGGCCGTGCACCTCCATGCCGTTCATGGCCTCAATCACAATTTTGGTATCCTCGGGCGACTGGAAGTTGGCAAATGCCAAGCCACGGAAGACGCCATTGTCGAAGTGGTAGTTGAAAGCATAGGGTTGGGGAAGATGCATGTCCATCATGACGGCAGCGAGAGTCTCCTTGCGAACGGCGAAAGGGATGTTCTTGATTACGATCGCGGTGGGAATGAGCTGCTCCTCGGTCTGCGAGCTGGGTCGCATATCGGCGTGGCCGTCGTAACGCAGGCCGTTGGACATACCGCCGTTGAGGCTGGAGCCGTACGAGTTCTGCATACCAAGGCCCTGATCGGTCCAATTCTACGAAATGTCAGATTACGTCGGGACGCATAGAGCGGCCGTGGTTGATGAAACTTACCGTAGGGAGAGCGGCACGGCGGTTTACGCTCCTCTGCCTGTTGGCACCGTTGATGGCACCGTTGACAGTCGCGACACCGCCGGCGTTGTAACTCCAGGCCGCCTGGTTGTTGTCCAGCATGTATCCTCCCGGCATTCCGTTGGCAGACATCTGATCCATCGCTCTGGGGTTGTAACCGAGACGGTCGGAGGGGAAGAGGGCGGAAGAGCCCAGGCCGTTGTCGAAGGGGCGTTGTGCCTGGCGGGGCAGGGACAAGCCGGACTGGAAGCTGCCGCCGTAGCCCCTCGATGAGCTCGGGGAGCGATTGGCGGGGGTTGAGTAGTCGAGATACATGTCGTGTTGCTGGCTCATTGTTGTCGTGATGGAGCTCTTGTCCCCGTGGTTGGCAGTTACTGGGTTGAGATCCAGCAACCGGCTCGTACCGTTGGGAGTGGAAAGGGAGAAAATTGCAGAAGTGGAGGGAGGGCGCAGGAGGGCTAGGGGCGGCAGCAGATGCAGAGCCCGCAAGCGAGAAAAGTGACGTGGAGGGGACGAGGTATGGTGGTGGTCGTCCTCTTGGTCTCCTTTTTCTTTCCCTTTCCTTGGTTCGTCTGGTGATGCAGCAGGTTGGGGATCACCGGATAGACGCCGTTTGATGCAACAAGAGGGAGAGAGGGAAGGAAAAAATGGCCTCCAAGTCGCAACAAGGTTCTTCAGGGCGGCGGCGGCGGCCGTTCGTTTTCGATCCGTTCGGGTCGCTCTTGTTCGTGGGTAAAAAAGGGCCCCCCAAGAGTTGGGTCTCAAAAAATGGGAAGATGCAAGTAGCCGACAGTCGCACGCTGTGACGGGACAGAACTGGACCAGAACAAAATGCCGTGGCGGATGTTATGTAGGGGCGTGGGCGACGGAAGTAAAGGCACACACACACAGGAGGGCGTGGGAGGGATTTGGAAGTGTGGTATGTGGCGGGCTGGGCTGCTACTGCTGCGGGACGGGCGCAGTCGGGCTGGCGCTTTTTTTTTCTTCTTGGTCCCTCTTCTCGCTCGCTCGTTTCTCCGCCGAAGACGCAGCGCAGGTTTTTTGTGTTTGGCAGTCAGTGCCGGTTGCCAGTGCCAGCAGGTGAGAGACTAGTCGCAATAGCAAAGTCGCAGTCGCAGACACGCGATCCAAGGGTGGTGCACCTTTTCGGATTGGGGGGGAAGGGGGAGAGAGGGAGGGGGAAGAGGATGTTGTAGGCGTGGTGATTAGGACAGGCAGTGATGACGCCCGTTGTTGAGGCTGAAAATGCTCAATAGGATGTCGAGGATGAGAGGAGGGAGGGGAGGGAGGTTAATGAGGGAAAGGGAAAGGGCAGCAGGAGAGGGAAAAATTGTTGCAGCAAAAAAAAAAGAAGCTGGAGTGAGGAGGCTAAAAAGGGGAGCTTTTTTTTTATTTTATTTTTTTTAAACGGCAGTACTATGGTTCCCTCACCCACGACGATGGAACAAGAGTGGACAGCGGACGCAGCTGATGACTGGGGGCCCACCTTGGACGGGCCAGCCAACGGGGTCCCAGGAGAAGGGGTGTGGCAACGGCAGAAGGCGACGAGAAGACGAAGAGGGCGCTGGGAGACAGGCAGGACAGGCCCCAAATCCAATCCCCCATGGAAGGTCAGCCAGGGGAGGGGGAGGGAGGGATCATTTGGGATGCGGACGGGTAAGACAGGGTACGGCGAGAAAGACGGTGGGCTTTTGGCAGACAGAAGGACGGGGCGGGGGGGCTACGGAAGGGAAATGGAAGGAAAGAAAGGACACTTTCGCTGAGAATGACAAGGGCTTCTTCTTCATCTTCATCAGAGCATTGGAACCTCCACTAGAGGGGAGGGGAGGGGAGGGGGCCCAGGGAGCCCGGGGGCCAGGGCCGGAACTGCCTGGCCTGGATGACTGACTGCCCAGCACAGCAGAAATACAGCGGTAAGAGAGGTGCTGGGCCTTGCGAATGCGGGCCGTCCATGTCCAGCATCAATCACCTCACCTCAGCCGATGCCCTGTCATGGAATTGACAGAATGTCACCTTTAGGAGACCTAGGTAGGTAAGGTACCTTGACAAGTATGTCAACGGCGCCGGGTAGCGCAGCTAGATGGATAGAAGGCCTGGAGCATCCGTATCTTACAGTGTGCATGGACAGGAACGACAACCCGTGGCAGCACTGGCAGCGGGACCTACCAAGGTATCCTGCATCTACTAGTCGATAGCACGGTATCTATGCTTGTGCGAAAGGCGATCTGAGGCGTGTGCGTGTGCGTGTGCGTGTCACTCCCGCCGACAGCTATCCAGAGGAACTGACTCCCGTTCAGTCTGTGCAGACCAAGGTAGCCACTTCAGGTACCCTTGATGAGGTATCAGAAGCACGGATGCTGTAGCAGTTGTATGATTTAATTCGTCTGGGCGCAGATGGCCTGCAGCAACTGCAGCAACAAGAACAACAAACCAAGCACCGTCTTGCACCGCTTTCCGACTGGCGAACGAACTCTGCATACTCTGGCCCTGCCGCCGTCCTCAGTTGGTCAGAGTATTGAAAATATTAGGAATTGGGGGTCCCGGAAGACCAGGACTTGCAACCAGTCGGATTGCACAGGCTCCAGTTCCCTTTCTCTTAGCTCAGTCCAGTGCGGTCAGTCATTGTCAGGGTTTGTTATTCGTGTGGACTGTGGACTCTGATGAACCTGTCGACGGGGGTTGGCTTTGGCTTTGGTCTGGCTCCGGCGCCGGGGCGGGTGCGGGTGCGACACCGCGCAAGGTACTCTGTGTCTACTGTCTCTCTTTTTGCCTCTGCTTCTGCCCTAGGACCGTTGACCCGATGCGTGGATGAAAATGATGGGACGGAGAATCAGGTGGCCACCCTCTCGACACTCTCGAGAGTGCCTAGGAAACGCGCATGCGGCTCACGCTGCCTGGGAGAAGAACGGCGATCAGCAGTCGGCTCCGCGATGAATGGATGCACCATGCAGATGCAGATACAGAAACGACTTCTTCCAGACTGGGATGGCAGCTCGCCAGCCGGCTGCATCGAACGGCGGGAAAGCAAGGTTTTGCGGTCGCCAGTACGTCGTATCTGCGCGTCCAGACTCTCTTACTCTGTGTCTGTCGGCCCTGTGTCGATAAAAGAGAGTTGGGCTGTTGATGCGAGAAGGAGCCGCGAGTTGACGCTGGCACTGACCCTGTTGTCGCTAGCTTGGACGCCAACTGACTCTTTGATTTCTGCTGTTGTCGTCGTTGCTGTTGTTGGCTCGTCGTGGTTGCGTTGCCCTGTACAAGCCAAGTGCCTCGGCCAGGGTGCAAAGTAGCAGTGGCAGGTATGCACCTTGCGAATAGTAGGAAAGGTACTTTTACCGTGTTACCCAAGTACCTTACCCAGGGCAGGCAGGCCTCGTCAGGGAATACCCGTGTGCGGTGAGATAAGGCCGACTATCGAAACTGTTGTTGCCGGGTGGGCGGTGGGCGGCGGGAATAGGGAAGGGAAGGGCCGTCTCGTCTCGTGTCGTCTCGTGTCGTCTTGCCGCGTGCGAGCCTGCCAGGACTGTTTTGCCATGTGCCCGTAAATCTGTATGGAGGAGGGAGTATCCGTACCCTTCGGAGTAAGGTACTGAGGGTCTGAATACTTACTGAGATGAGGAGCGAGGCAAAAGAACGGTCAACATTCTGCACCACCACCCATGGTCGTGGATGGACATGGCCGTGACCACCGCTCTTTGCTCTGCTTGCTGGGTGTCGCGTCTCCAGTAGCCTTCAAGGGTTTTCCAAATGCGCCCCATCGCCCATCGTCTCCGAGGAGGGCAAAGTAATAACCCGCAGGCAAGACCCGTAGGTGCTGGACCGTACCGTAGGCAAAATGCCATGTCCATGCCATGCCGGTCCCTTGTCGACGCCCATGCCAAAAGGCCCAGGCCAGAGCAGGGTACGACTCCAGAACCGTACCCGTAAAGTAGGTAATCCCTATATATAAAATTGGGTCCGTCTCTCCAGACTTTTTTCCCTTTTTTTTTCACATTCCTCTTTCCGTCCTCGCGACCATCCGCGGCCGGGTCACGAAATAATGTGGTCGGCTACGACGATGGTCCTGGACACCGCCGCTGGAGAAAGTCCACAGCCCACAGCGGGACGGGGATCCTCGACGGATATTTGAGCAGGAGCAGCAGGAGCTTTGGCTCTACAGACCGGAGACTGGAGTCTTTAGCAGCGCCTTTTACGGACACAGCAGGGGGGGCAACGCATGGGCGACAGGCGACAGGCGACGGGCCTCGGGGCCGAGGGGAGAGGAGGCAAGACGTGGAGGTGATGAGAAAAGGGGCAAGTTGACTTGAGCAATGGAACGGAAGGAAAGCGGTGGCATGGTGCTCCATTTCCGTACCTTACTTACGAAGAAGTCAACCTTGGGTGGTCGTACGCCAGAACCACGTAGGTATTTCGGGTATCGTCTTTTCTGACGGCAAACTTATTAAAAGTGGATGGCTTTGAGTGACTTGCGCCAGACACTGTAATAAACGGCGGGAGTAGGAATCGGAGAGGTGCGAATATGAGGAAATTACCAGGAAGCAGCGGATGCAGATGGAGATGGGCCTCGTTCAAACTTTGCTTTCCCACTTGCTGCAGCTTGATATTGTTTTGCGTCGCCCTGCGTCCACTGCTGAGGCAACCTCGGTCACGGCAGGCATATCCTTCCACTTTCTGCAAGATCTATTTGAAAGTCGGGAAACAGGCAGTCGCAACTCGCATCGACAAACAATTCCTACCTTGTATGAAGCAAGGCACTTGCCCAGATAAGATAGGTATTAGGTAGTGTGGTCATGGCGAAGCGGAAGGAGGGACGGGAAGGTGGCACGGGGAAAGAAACAGACGTGGCGCTAGCACAGTGTCAGCTGGACGGCGCCGGTTGTCACTGGCTGCTCCTGCGCACTGGCGCAGGGCTAACGACGCCAGGCGAATAAGAAAAGGCGTTGGCCCCAGTCTGTTCCTGCCTGTCACCAACAGAAAACCTCACCGATCACTCGCGCTCCTTGCTAAGTTGCTGCTTGCCTCCTCCCACCTCCAAACACTGAAGTGAGGTAGTGGCAGTAGTCCGTCACCGTCCCGTGCGTTGCTGGGAAACAGGCACAAAATAATCCACCGCGCTTGCCGGATATGCTGGGCTGCATTGCCTTAGACATGGCAATCGCTGCTGGGAAGGCGCCATGACTAGCCTAGCACTGGGCCACCAGACAGGACAGTGCGGTCGCGGTTGCAACTGCCGCGAACTGACTGTGCCTTTCTTCCAGAATGCGAAGTTGCCGTCCGTGACTCTTGAGTTGACTGTTGACACCGCTAGCGTCCTCGAGGCTTGCCATCAGACGAAC